GGAGCACCCTTAATTGCGACCGAAGTTTAGTGTTAACTAATACATCTTCAATGCTTAATGAGTAAATTCATGATTTTGTGGGGTTTGCGTTTGCAAACTGTGCACGCATATTTGAGAACTGTGTTTGCTTCCGAAATAAATTTCGACTGAGCTTATACTCCACTGAGCCCCTTCAGAGCCGCCCCTCCTGTCGAGTTACATGTGATTTTCCAAACCGCAGATAATAAAGGGTTACGCGAGTAACCTCAAGATCCACAAGCAAGAACAGACTACACAATAATTGTTTTTAAAATTGTGCCTTATATTACAATTTGTTCTCGCTGATGCAGTAGTCTATTATTGCCGGAGGGTTGGTAAGATGTAAAATTTCCAAGAACTGAATGCCATGACGTGCCTGTAAATGAGTACGTCTTTTACAGTGTTTGTAACCCCGAGAGGTTACCGCAGCTGAACTATTTATCCAAAATGGCCGTTAGAGTCTGTACAATAGCCCACTTGGTCCCCAGGAATTGGTTTCAAGACTGAATGTCATTTCAGTTCGGCGCGTGAACTGTGGTTCCGTTTGCGCATGCGGGATGCCTTGGTTATGCGGTGATCCTAAAGGACCAAATAATTGGTAATAGACACCAAGAAGGAAATCGCGTTCGGCATTTTGATCCTGTAAAAACCGTTGCGGAAAATATACTTTTGTAGCGGTCTTTTTTCCTTGAATTGAAATCTTGAAAATACACCCAGAATGCTAAATAAATTATACCAGCCTATTTTTTGCTTTATAATAATGTTTACTTTCATAACGTTCATAGGAATTAACAGATTTATGGTTAGGGTTTCTACTTAAATTAATTTATTTTGCACATGTTTACAGTTTTAGGCACATAATGGGTCGCGGGCTATTTCAGCACGTATTTCATCGACGGCATAAATCTAAAAAGGAGGAGGAGCCAGCCGCTGAGCCTCGCAAACGCTATCACCACTGGCTTACTCATAAACGGACTGCAGATGCTGATGAGGAGAGAATGCGACAGAGTGTTGCCACCAATAAGATTGAACCCTGGTTTGGCCGAGTCTTCTCCCCACACACTGAGCAGGCAACTGCTTTGTACACATTCTCAGCCCAAACAGACCAAGAAGTCTCTTTTAAGAAAGGAGATACTCTCACTGTGGAATTCAATCAGAGTGAGGAGTGGTTGGAGGCAACAAATGTGGCAACGGAAAAGACGGGCTTCATTCCCGCTAACTATATCAGTTTGGAGCCAAACATTGTTGATGTCCTCGATGCATGGCAGGACATACCACGTCTGGAAGCCGAGTGGAAATTACTTATGTCTGCACTTCCGCCGGGCACTTTTATTTTACGGCCTAGTTCGTGTAAGTTATGCATTTTACCATAGCCTGCTTATTTGTTCATAAAAACAAGTGACCTGAAGATTAGTTGTTACAATTTGTTCAGTAGCAGCAGCTCACCAGCAGAAACACTTCTAGATCAAAGTAAAAGTATGCTTGGTGAAATATGCACTTCCAACTATAAAGTGAATGCACAGGAATGTGACTTTCTTCCTAGATGTCAGTCCCTGGGTCACTGCTTTGCCAAAGTGGCTGATTAGTGGACTGAGAGTCAGTTGATGAAAGCTTCTTCTAACCCCTGGTTGTGTCAATCCCAGTATGCGTTTTTTAAGAGGAGCAGGTCGTGCTGTGGTGCGCGCAGACAGGTTCGCTGGCCCTGTTAGTCACTGCATTCACCCCT